TTGGTGTGTAACAGTTCCTTCCAGGAAGAATAACTTACTATGCCTGCCACTCAAGTGGTCTTGTAGTACCTGAGCGATTCTGATAGAATATTTTGTTCTTAGGCCATATTTTTGTACTTTTCAAGACTGCTCTAAATTAAATGATTAGGAAGAGGAGCATTGGGTTTACGCTGCAGGAATACTGCATCTAATGCACACACAAAAGGAAAACCAGTTTGCAAATTGGCTTTTCAGCTGCATCACTTACCTTTTAAAAAGAAATATCAATAAATACATATGCAAACAGATGTATGCAAGGGCAATTGTGCAAGATTATAATTTCAGCAGTTTTGTCCATTCTCTTAATTTCATTAAAGCTATTATGCGTTTTCCCTAGTGCAAGGGAAAGAAAGAAAGGTATGCATCACTTTGAAAGTATATGACACATTCATGGCTTTCTAGGCTTGGAAGGAGGAATAGCATATGCAAAACTTCTGCACTTCCAGTGAGTCACAGTTAGAGAAAATACATAGAGACAACTTTGTCAAGTTTTACAATTTACTGGTAAAGACAAAGAAGTAGTAGAAAAGTGAACTAGGTTGCTGGGTATTGTCGTTTTTACATAAAGGAATGGAATGGATAATAAAAAGTCTATCTGGAAAATCTGGATAAACAGAGTATATTTAGCCCCCCTCCCCCCTAAAAAGATGTTGTGGGGCTCACATGAGCTGTTTTTAGCTATTTAAAAGGGTGTGAGAAAGAAGGAAGAGAGTAACTATATGCACAATCTATGTGGAAGTCCCCTGGTGGAAATCTCATTGCAATGAACAGGGGCCAGGCAAGGTGTATTTTGATAGGGCTTGCCGATTACGAAGTCCCCAGTGACCATGCCCCATATCTTCCAAGTATAGAGTATAAAGCACCCGCCTCACATTACACAAACAAAATTTTAAGATTAGAACTAGGAAGAATTCTGCAACAGTAAACTACCAATGGAGGTTCCAGAATGTCATTCCTTGCAAGGTTTTATGCAAATACTGTGAATGTTCCCATCAGAAAAGCTTGAGATGCAGGTTAGACTGCCTTAAATAATGAGACTGGACTCAAGGTCCTCCGTGGCAGTTTACAAATCTTAAGAGTCTACAATTCTGAATATACATAGCTATTGATGGCAGTCATTTAAATTTGTTTCAGTCACTCCTGAGCATGTGTTTAGGAAAAGGACAAAAGTGCACCAATTCTGCTTTTTAAACCATCCAGCCTTTAAATAAACAACAACATTTATTTATTTTAAATTTCACTGACGAGAGGAAAGGTCCATTTAACAGATACTATCTGTTAGTAGATAAATGTTAACCCTTTATTATTCAGTCACACTCAGATATTTAGATGATATGGTAACAATGTCAAAAGCTAATGATCAGGGTTAATCAGTATGAAGCTAAATAAGTTGCATATGTGATTGCCAATACACAAAATTAGGTTTCTTATTCAAAAGAAGTAAACTACTTTATGATTTCAGGTGTAACAAAACAGACTAATTTTTAAACAGAAGGAACTCAGGCTACAAACTCTATTTACAAAGAATTTAATTAAGTGAGTCACATTAACAGAAGCTCAGGTGTCTTGATTCCACAAAAAGAAAAACAGTTTGTAGCTTACTATTTTTGCCATTGCTCATGAATTTGTACAGTTTCGTAATTTCCCATAGGTATCTGTTTTGCTTTTTAAAAAGAAAACTTTCTAGAATTATTTATCTTTCAAGATAATGGGCATGGAGGATTTTCAGAAATTAAAGGCAACCTTCTTTGCCTGTTTACTCAAAATAAGTCCCCCTGTGTTCAACAGGTCACAGCCTAGGAAGCAAATGATGTGGTATGCTACATATTTAGGTATTATCAATCAGTGTATAGCTCCATGCAGTGCTATCTTATTCGTGTTTGCTTGGAAGTAAACCCCATTGTATTTCATATGGCTTAATCCCAGGCAAGTGTGCACAGGATTTTAGTCTTGGATTGATATCAGAGGAAACACAGGTTCAGGTTCCTTAAACAGCCAATTAAGTTACCGATTACATATTTTCCCCTTCTTTCTGAACATAATTTGTGTCATTGTATGAAATCAAGTGACCTACAGTGACAGTTCACAAATTGAAAACTGTTCTTGCAAATGTCTGTGTCAATGGCATTCTGCTTTGGCAGCTGCCTGGTTTTAGGACAGATATAAAGACAAATCAGCTGTTCTGCATGCTTCATTTTTTTTTTCATGAACAAGACAGACAAGCAGACCAAGGCTGTGATCGTAAACACAAATTTCTTGTAGGAAAAAAAAAAGGAAATTGTTTGGATTTACTTTGAAAAACCGATTAGTGTTTGAAAGACCTCGCCCATTTCTTGAGATCAGTAACCCCTGGACTTCATGTTCCATACATAGGGAAAATCAAATATTCCATGTAGAAAATCTCTTTAAAGTTGTTGAACAATCCTGGCTTTAAAACTCCCGTGCTAATTTTCCAAGCAGAATAACCTTCAGTGCCAAATTAATGTCACAATTTATCTATCTCTTGTTCTGTGCTCTTTAAACTTGCGTGCCAGGCAGTATGTCAGTATGGAATCTGGTTGTTAAAAGCAGTTTCATATGCTCTCTTTGTATATAGACTTTGTCTTGGGTCCCCCCCTTCTTCTTCTTCTCCCCCCTCTTTTTTTTAAATAAAAAAACTTGATTACTTGTTTACAGAAATGCTTTCAATTTGTTTGACAGTTTGTAAGAACTGCTGTGAAGCACAGTTAAAAGCACAAGCTTGTGAAAATAGAAATTCATCATAAAAATTCTGCTCCTCCCTAAAATACGCCTTAGCATTTGATCTTTTCCCCCCACGTCTTTGCAGTAATTAAAATAAGATTGTCCTGAAAAAATGTTCCTCTCTGTAGACTCCACCAGCAGAATGGCGGTTTTATGAAATTAACAGTTGTTCAAACAGCACACATGATGCAATTATAGTGAAATCAGGGTGCAAATACACTATTATATTCACACGTAGCTTTTGTTTCATAATCCAACTTCTTTCCCCAGTGACACCTCCAGTATTTAATGTATGGTTGCCCTTTGATCAGTAACGTCTTAAAATTTTAAAAAGTCTTCCACATTCACTCCCCATTTGATTGAAAAACTCACTCCTGTACATTATATCCGATAGGACATTCAACAGGGGTCAGAAACAAATACAGAATCATAGGTAGAATGAGGGAAACAAAACAAATGGAACATATTCTTTTCACTTCTCCCTTTTTTCAAAAAGGAAAATCATTTTGAAAGGGGGGGTATGTGCTTCCTAGCTTTCTTGCCAATTCCCCCCCCCCCGCATGCTAAACATATATATTCTCAGCATTTAGTCTTCAGAATACCTTTTCCAAAAAGCGGCAATAATATAAAACACTGGATCTTGGTCGTGAAAGTTTCTTTTGTCAAAGGAATTATTAGAAAGAAGCATGTTTCCAAATGTGTCTCATTTTTTAAATAAAAAAATCCCTTAAGTTTTTGAAAACTTACCTGCGGTTCCTGGTCCTAGGCAGAATTCTATAGTAGAATTGGGAGATCAGCCTCAACTCTATTTATATACATATAATATATATGAAAAAGGATTTTATTTATTTAAACTCACCAGTGCCCTTCTTCTTCTCCAGGAAGATGTACCCGTCAGCACCTGCTGAGGGTTTCGATGATTAAACTGACAGGTAAAAAATTCCTGTAGAATAAAGCCAGACCAGCTGGCTTTGAAGAGAAACCCCCCAGTTTGGGTCCTGTTTGCCTCACTCACCCTCTGCTATGAAGGCACAAGCTTTTTCCCCTTTGCTGTTGACCTGTAAGATGCGTGATTTCCATGCACAAGTGTCTGGCATGCCTGGCCCCACCTGCTCCTGTCACTCGAGAGTAAATTTAGCTGTAAAAGGTATCACTGACAAGCAGACCTTTGTCAGCTCTGGCGAAAGAACATAGAATTACTCTGTCCACAAAGCAAGCTGTAAGTTCAATTGGAAAATATCAAATCAGTAGCTTTATCCAAAATTTGGGAGGAAGCAAAATGAAATGACTTTCAGATGGCCGAAAGTAAAAGAAAAAAAGTGTGTGGGGTGGGGGGGGGAATACCCCTCTTTTACAGTGAAGTTAAAAAAAAAATCTTATTTCCAAGAATAATTTTAGAACAAGACAACTTTTTGTACTTTTTAATTACAGCTGGAAGGAAACTTCTTTAGAAATGGAAACAGAACACACATCATTCGGGTTATTAAACTATGTTAAGTATTAAAGTGGATTTCTTTCCCTTTTCACTCTTACTTTTATCCGGAGAAATATTAGAAACCTAAAACTTCTCAAAGAGGATTCAGTAATCTCACTCCCCAAATTAGAATGTCGTGTTAAGAGACTGCATTTCAGAATTACACAGAGGCTTCAAAAATTGAGGAGTCGGAGCAAATGTGCATAAGTAAAACCTTGTTAAACCTCGAAGCACTTTCATTCTGGATTTTTTTCTCCTTTCTAGACTAAGGTAAGGACATTTATGTCTCGCCAGTCTGCTATTGTTATTCATCCTGGTAACAACACACACACAACTCACAGGCTGTTTTTGACTATGTAACTTCTATTGTATTTATGTAACCTATTGTTACTCATCTGCCTCCCCTTGGAGAGGAAAAAAGTCTATGGTACTAGATATGGGGGGGGGGGGAAATCTGGTAGTTACCATTAGTACCGTTAATTCACCAAATGGGTGAAATACCAGGAAAAAGATCTATCTGCATTACCAAAATCCTGATCTTCAGCAATTTGGCAGGAAACTACGCAAACTATTTGACGACATGCCCCAGTACTGTTGTGCTTAAAGGGGGGGGGAGGGTTGAGGGGAGAGAGAATGAGAGGTATTGGGAAGGGGAGGGTGGGTCACAGGCCCTTTGTCAAATAAACAAGCTTCCTATTTACTTACTGCACATAAACAGCTACTCACCAAACTCATTTCTCTGCAGGGTACCACTTTCAGATAAAAACATGGACCTGATTGGCATCATCCAGTATCCATGGAAACACGGTAAGTACCTCTCTCAGAGTGAATGTCTCTTATTCAAGATTTAAAGGCTGAGTACTGGGTAAGTGAGTGTTTTCATTTAATAATTATATGGGAGATACTTTTTAGAAGCTCGCAAAGGGGAAACAGGTTTGGGGTGTTGCGTGTGCCATAACAAAGCCCTTATGCTTTCATCATGTTTTTTAAAAATTGTGTGTTTGAGGTTCAGACTCTCTAGCTATTCACACGCGCACACACCCCCACACACCAAAAAATGCAAGCTACCTTCTTCAAGACCCAGTGAATAGGAGTTTGAAACTTGGAACCTCTGTTAGTACAGGAACAAAGCTGCTTCTTTGTTTACTTAGTAGTTAGGCAGTGCTCCTATTGTATCCTGCCCCCCCAACAAAATAAAATAGGAAGATTTTCAAAGCATTTATACCTTGATTGTTAGGTCATAGAATTAGCCAGGCAACACGAAATCTTTGACTAGAGTGAGAGGCCAGAATTGCATGCACTGTGTTTGAATCAAATGAAATCATTTTTTAAAAAGGCCTTTATTTTTAAAGGCTAGAGTATTTGTGTGTAGGCTGCAGTCTTGGGTGGAAATATTCATGAAGATAATGAGGCATAAGTGATGGTACTGTTGTGCTCTGAAGATAGTAGAACTTAGAATCTCACACATACTTTTTAAGAGTCAACAGCAGGCATAGGCAAACTCGGCCCTCCAGATGTTTTGAGACTACAGTTCCCACCACCCCTGACCACTGGTCCTGTTAGCTAGGGATGATGGGAGTTGTAGTCCCAAAACATCTGGAGGGCCGAGTTTGCCTATGCCTGGTCAACAGTAATCTTGGTTATAGACTGACATCTAGGAATATATGAAGGCAAACCAATTGAAGCTGAATCTAGATCAAATGGAGGATATGGTTATAGGTGGCCTTTGTGATCTGGAGGCGTTCAAATTTCTTTTGTGCATGGGAGTTCAATTTCCCTGAAATATTAGTTTCTTAGCCAGGGAGCTAAGAAACATCCACACTTGTTTTTGGATGCCCAGATGTCTATCATGTCCACAAGTACTTTTTATCAGTTAATCTCATGGCATTAGTGCCCTTTTCTTCAGAACAAAGTTGTAGTGACTAATATCCATATTGTAGTATGGACATTTGCACCTAGCAAAATCACTAGGAAAGGGTTTAATCAAGTTTCCATATAACTGGGAAATGAGGCCTGACCATGAAAAGAACAGATAGATCCTTCTTGGGCATGATGTCCAAGAATAGTAATGAAACTTCTTTTCCAGTAAAGTCTACTTAAACCTGAAAAAGAGTAAAGGCACTGTGGTTCCAGCAGACTTTGGAGTGGTTAATAACTGGTATTTATGTACTTAGCTCTAACAAATGTTTTGAAAATGATGGTATTGTCTTTATAGTCTTCTAATATCTTTATAGTCTTCTAATGGAACAAAAAGCCAAAAAAATAGCAAAAAAAGGCAATGGAAAATAAATAATATAAAACAAAACAAAAAAGGTTACTACAAAAAAGAAGAAAAAATTTCAATGATGCCTTCTAATACTAAGATAAAATTTTTTTGTTAGAGTGTGAAGTCTTGCAAAAATTCCAGACACAAGCAGTTCAAACATTTTTTTCAGAGTTTCCAGTGAGATAATATTATGAATCTGTTACCTTTGAAAATGAAGAGAGAAAAAGATCTGTTCTAAAATGAGCTTCATTTTGCATGGATTTCACTGACTAATCCCGATTAAGTAGTTTATGAATTACAGCCTCAATCAGGTAAATAGCAGTTCCCCTACCTGGACTAGGTTCTTATATTTGCATTTCATTAAATATAGCCGTTACCGCAACACATTTCTCTGCTGAAAGATGCAGCGGAGGTAACTGAAATCCAACTGGTTTAGAGTTCTGGCTTCCCTATTTTTATCACTCTGCATATTATTTTCATTTACTTTCTTTATTGTTTTTATTTGCTAACTTTTCTCAGCAACCCGTCCCTGCTGAGTGCAGATGGCATGAATGATCCCACAGATTCTCTGCTCAATAAGCCAGAATGGTATTGCAGACATTCTATATTAAACTTCTTTTACTGCAATAAAAATGTTACTTTACCACATGCCTGCTTCGGATTCCGCATCATTCTTCAGGTCTGTATGCGTACGGATTCTTTATAGAAGTTTACTTAAGCATTGTGATTCTAGAACCTGGTCAAAATGGTTGGATCTATTCCAAGGCCTTAGATAAGTAAACCCCCTTGCGGAGGGGCGGATTGGGGACTTTGCTGTGCTCTGACACTTAGAACCAGATATTTACTTGGGCAGCCATTTTAGGCACTTCTCATTCTTACTTTGCTTAAAATGGGGTTGGTAAGGGTGTGTGTGTGTGATGTTCCAACTGTTGTCTACTCAACATAAAACTAACAAACAAAAATATTGGCATGTGCAGTGGGACGAAATATGCATTTCATACAAAATAATGGAAGATGGTTCTAAATGCGCCGCAGCACAATATTAAAATTAGAGGCACCAGTGAAGTTTTCCTGAGCCAGGCTAGAAAAAGAACGACAGGCACTTGGAAAGCCTGCGTCAAATTGAGAGGTGCACATTAGCCCTGAATATTTTTTTTTCCTGCTTGGATGGAAGTTTTCTCCCCCTCCCTTTCTCCCCATAGTGCTGGCTAACAGTGGACTGGAACCCAGGGGATTATGGTAGATGTTGGTTTTCACAAGAACTTCTGAAAGAGTTCTTGGGAGAGCAACATCTTCTTTGTGTTAGCGGTCACTGCAACAGGGAGATGAAGAGGAGGACTGGTACGGGAGGTGGGGATATTTTTTTTCCTCCAAATGAGCGTCTGTTCTTATTACTGCCCAGCTTCCAGATGAGAAGGATAAACTTTTCCAAGGGGTGAAGGGCTGGTATGGACAGTTGGAAATGAGTGTAATCTCATATCTTGGAAAAGGGCATGGCTGGCTGGCTGGAATCCTGAAAATAATAATTTAATTATTAGCAGTACTAAGAGGGGACGTGGGTGGTGCTGTGGGTTAAACCACAGAGCCTAGGACTTGCTGATCAGAAGGTTGGCGGTTCGAATCCCTGTGACTGGGTGAGCTCCCATTGCTCGGTCCCTGCTCCTGCCAACCTAGCAGTTCGAAAGGACGTGAAAGTGCAAGTAGAAATATAGGTACCACTCCGGTGGGAAGGTAAACGGCGTTTCCGTGTGCTGCTCTGGTTTGCCAGAAACAGCTTAGTCATGCTGGCCACATGACCCGGAAGCTGTACGCCGGCTCCCTCGGCCAATAAAGCGAGATGAGCGCCGCAACTCCAGAGTCGGTCACGACTGGACCTAATGGTCAGGGGTCTCTTTACCTTTACCTTTAGTACTAAGAGGGTTTTTTGCCACTGTTGTTGCAACTGCTGCTCTTTATTTTGGGGAATGTTTCATTATACACCTTTAGGTGCCAGGCGAAAAGGTTCTTCTTCAACTAGGCCTTTGGCTGACTAACATCCCAGATCCTTTGAAATGTGTCTGTGGGAAGGAGGGAGGTTTATTGGCTTGGCTTATTTTTGTTCTTATTTTTATCATGTATTTTGTGTTTTATCTTGTTTTTTTATGCTGTGAACCACCCTGAGATCTATGGATGAATGGTGGTATGTTGTTGTTGTTGTTGTTACAGTGGGGGACATGGTAAAAATATAGAGACTGTTGTATTTCTCTCTTTTTTGCCTAAGATAACTTTACCCCCCAATGCCTATGAAGGTATTGTTGTATATATTCATCACTTCCTGAGCGTCTCAAAGCAACTTACATAATACAAATACAAGAAATACTAAAGCCAAATATAAAACAGCAATAAAACAAGACCTTGTGCAAATCCTACCTACCTCATTTAAAAGAATAAGCACTTGTGGGGAGGGGGAGGGGAAAATTAGGGGGGAAATTTAAAGATGATATGTTTTTTGATAAAATGTGATGTTGAAATTTCTAATAAAAATATTTAAAAAAATAAAAATAAAAGGATAAGCACTAAAAAAAGGCCTCTTGGCTAAATCTAACTGCATCTCTTCAATTTGTTTTTTATATAAATATGCTCCGTGTATGGTTATGTTATTGTTTGGATGGTTATGTGTTTGTACATACATTTATGATTAAAGTGGGGAAAAGACCCCAGATAGAATTAGTTACCTTCCTAATTAATCATCAAAGGTCTGGGTAAATAAAAATGTCTTTGGATTGTGCCTAAAAACAGGCAATGATAGTGCCAGGTGTGCTTTTCTGGGGAAAGCTTTCCACAGATGGGGAGCTGCTACTGAAAAGGTCTGTTTTTGTGTTGCCACCCTGCATGCCTCCCTCAGACAGGGCACAAGGAGAAGGGTCTCAGATGATGGACATTTTATGTCAGAAGAGGCATTCCTGAGCTTTATAGGTCAAAACCAGCAATGTGAATTGAGCCCAGAAACTACTTGGTAACCAGTGCAGTTGCACCAGTATTGGTGTTACATTCTCAAACCTCTGAATTCTTCACCAGCTACAGCTTCTGAACCATCTTCAAAGGCAGTCCCACATACAACAAATTGCAGTCATCTATTCTAGATGTTACCAGAGTGTCGACAACAGAAGTTAGGCTGTCCCCATCCAGAGAGGGGCTCAGCTGGGCCACTGAGGCCACTTGAACCTCAAGCAATCTGAATGGATACAGAAGTAACCCCCAACTATGCACCTGCTGCTTCAGAGGGAGTGTAATTCCATCTAGGGCAGACCAAACTCCACCCATCTGGCCTGGGGAACCTCCCACTAACAGTTTCTCAATCTCATCTGGATTAAGCTTTAGGTTATTGGCTCTCATTCAGTTCATCACTGAGAGCAGGCACTGGGCTACTACAGTGATGCCAAGATGCTAAACATAAAAGCCAAGAAAAGGATGTGGTCAAAACATGGAGTCCTGCTGGGTACAGTGGTACCTTGGGTTAAGTACTTAATTCATTCCGGAGGTCTGTTCTTAACCTGAAACT